GAATATGGCAAATTCCTATGGTGGTTTATTAAAATATTCAGATTTCAATAGAAGTATTATGAATGAAACTAATTATGGTAAAGATTCTCTTTGAGCAAACTATAGGTAGGCTCCTCTAAATTGTCTTCCCAACTAGGTCTCAACCTTTGGACTTCCATGTTTTTTGGACTTATGTCCCTCTTTGTATCACCCAGTTTTAGCAAAAACCCTGCTAAGTCCATTTAGCCAGAGTCTCCTGCTTCTGATATCTGATCAAATTCCTCATCTCCCAGGTGGTATCTGTCCACTGCAGCCTGCCTTCAGCAATCTCCTCACTCCTGATGTCACCCTTTAGTCATTTTCCATCTACTGACCCCCACCCTGATCCTTGGTTATAAGTTTCCACTGCCCATGTTGTATTTGGATTTGAGCCCAATTCTATGCTAAGATCTCTTTTCTCCTACTGCATTAGTTCCCGAATAAAATCTGTTTTTACTACTACTACTACTACTACTATTACTACTACTACTACTACTATTACTACTACTACTACTACTACAATGTGGCTCTGCTTTCAACAGTTATACACTAAAATCTGTTCTTCCCTTCTTGGGAACTTGGTTAGATCCCATGTCTGAGGCCTTAGTGGTTAGGTAGAGCCACATGGTATTCACCAAGGGAATGGAAGGATGTATCTCACTTCTGGGTTTAGGTTTTCAGATCATGGGGTGCCCCTTCACACTCTTTTCCTTCCCACTGGCCACTATTTAGACAGGGCACCAATCCTAGTTCAGTGTCTACCTCCCTAGGGCACAATGGGAGGGATGACCTGAAAGGACCCTGGGGCCCTAAATGACCAAGTGGAGTCCCATCCTATTACCTGGATCACTCATCTCAGACCCTCACACAAGGCAAAGATACACTCCTTTGTTATTTGAGGCAATGCATTCTTCAGTCTCTTTATTACAAAAGGCTAGCCTTACTCTGACAAACAGAAATGATTAAATTTGTGACAATCAATTTTTCTTCAGGAAAAACTCATGTCATTGTAGCCTCATTGGAAATCTGCTATCATATTGGAAACTCAAAGAATTAAAAGTGCTACTGTCTTAAGGCTTCAAACTATTCACTTCCAGAATTACTGTTTACCTTTTTATATGCATTATTCACTTCTCTCTAAGCCACAACACCAAGACAGAACCCTGAGGCTAATCTACACACCCATGGGAAAATTCATTGTGCTTTAGCTACAATCTGAGCAATTTCTGAGTCCTGCACAGAACGGTAAGACAAATAGAGAATAAGTATAATACCAGTGATACTGTTATCAGAAAACAATTCAAAAATGCTTACGTGGCTGGAAACTGGAATGAGTTCATACCACAGATTTTTATAATTTATGCAAAAGAATTTATTTTATACTATTAATGAAATGGAATTCTAAAAAGATAAACTCAATATACTCTTCTCAGTCTTCAGCTTTCTGGAACTGTGTGTGTGTTAACTGAGGTGATTAATTACCCCTCACCCTTTCCTAAAACTTTCTCCTTTCTTAGCTCTCCTAACAGCACCACTGTGCTTGCAAAGTCACCACCTCCTCCTGGGTTCCTCCCTACTCTCTGTACTGCATTATAGGCTGGCATTTCCTAAGGCTGATTTTGGCTTTCCCTCACTCCACAGGCTCTGTGATACCAGTCAAGTTCACGGCTTCGCCTGCCATTGACAAGTGAACTCTCAAATGAACCTCTACCTCCCAGCAAGATGATGTCCCTAAGCTCCACACCTACACACCTATACTACCTTCTAGAAATTATCTGACAACAGCTCAAACATAGCACTGAGACCTGTCCTCATAACTTCCCTGTTCTTCCTCCTGCTTTTGCATTTTCTCTCCCGCAGCCAGACACCCAATCAGAAATCAGGGCACCATCCTCTGTCTCTGTCTCAACCCCCACTCAGCCTGTCACTAAGTCCTACCGACCCCACCTGGTGACCTTCTCTCAGATCCAAGTCTTCTCTCCAATTCTGCTGCCACTCCCTGAGTTTCAGCCTCTATTATTTATTCATTCAACAAATATTTAATTGTGCTCCTTCCATGTGCCAGGCACTGCCTTGGGCACTTGGGATACAGCGACATTGAACACTGCCCTCAGGGAGCTTAGTAGCCTGGAGAAACAGACAGCATACAATGAAGACTAGAAAGAGGGTGTGTGTGTGTGTGTGTGTGTGTGTGTGTGTGTGTGCGCGCGCGCGCGCATGTATGCTCATTAGAAGGTAACAGATGCTATGAACCACTGACAGGATGAGCAGGGAAAAGGTGACCCAGGAGACCTGGGTGGACGAAGGGCATTGTAATTGTAAGTGAAGTGTTCTGAGCCACCTCACTGAGAGGGTGACAGTTAAGCACAGGCTCATAGGAGGTGGGAGAACTGGCCGGCCATACAGCTCCTAGGGAACAGCTGTCTAGCTAGAGAGAGGACACAGTCAGTGGGAAGGAGAGCTAGGGACCGTGTGGCTGAGGCTGAGGGGGTGAGGGTGAGGGGAGCCACAGCGGAGGGCAAAGCAGGGCAAGGGGAGGAGGAAGAGCACAAGAGCACTGGTGGGTCATTTTAAGGATTGGGCTCGGACTCTGCAGGAAACCCTTCTTCTGGCTCACTGTCCCCAGAGGAACGTAAACATCACTGCCGGCCTCTAATCCACCCTCCACATCATGGCGGCCAGAGATCTTCATAATTTCATCCCTCCATTTCCCAGCTCCCTCACTGCCTTCGTGTACGGTGTCCACTCTCCTAAGCTGGGCATTCAAAGTGTCAGATGACCTAGTCCTTCCCCACCTCTCCACTCCGTGCTCCAGCCTGTGGGCTGAGCTGTCCACCTGCCCACACCTTTGCACAGGTAGGTTTCACTACCCCAAGTACCATTTATGATCAGCTGTCACCTGGCTTGTTCCTGCACACCCTTTAGGTCCCTTTCTCTTGGTGGCCTTCCCTGACCTGGCGTCCACCTCTCCCTCTGCCCCAAGCTGAGTCAGGCTGCCCTCTTGTGATTCATGAGCCTAAATATGGTTCCAAAACTACTTCCACTTCTACTTTTTCTTTGTCTCTAATATTGTTGCCTTTGCTGTCACCACAGGTGCTCATCAACATTCCCTGAGGACACCAAGGTACTAGGCACCAGACCAGTCTCTCAGAGGGGAGTGGGCTCCCTGGGGCAGAAGCAGCCTCTCTTCTATGAATCTTTAGAAGCTGGTTCTCCCCTTACTCTGCCAGTCCAGCCACATACTGGTTTTACTGTTCTCATACATGTGCAGCTCTTCCAGCCTCAGGCTGTTTGCACCTGCTGTAGAATACCCTTCCCCCAGATCAGCACAGGGCTGGCTCCTTCATTTTATTCAGGTGCCTATCCACATGCCACCTCCTGTCGCATGACATTATAGTACCTGCCACATTATAAGCGTTTAAAAATAAAATGTATTGGGGCACCTGGGTGGCTCCATTGGTTAAACATCTGACCCTTGGTTTCGGGTCAGGTCATGCTCTCACGGTTTTGGGGATTGAGTCCCACGTTGGGCTCTGCACTGACAGTGTGCAGCCTGGTTGGGATTCTCTCTTCCTCTCTTTTTCTGCCCCTCCCCTGGACGCACGCTGTCTCTCAAAACAAATAAAATTTAAAAAAATAATAAAATAACATGTATCAAAATAAAAGCATTTAGTAAACATGGCATATGTATGGCTAATAACCTTACTGCTGGCTTACTCCTGTCCTATGAGGATTAAAACTGCCCCTCTGTCATGAGGCACGTGGCATTCGTGAAGAGGCAGCTCGCATGACAAAGGCCTGGGAGAGCCACAGAATGTGTCACTGTGAAGGCAAACTCACTGGCACTGACGCTGGCACTCCTTACTCAGCTCACTGCAAGCCTGCCTGCTGGTCCAGATACACCGTAACTAGACTGGAGGGGCAGGTACATGCCAGGACCCACTGCCTTCAGATGCCATAAAAATGAATGATTGTTGACACTGAACTAGCACCTGGGAAGGAACAGGCACAACTGGTGACCCAGACCCCACCGTCCCGGGATATTCAGAGTCCCAAAGTGGGTCCACGCCACTGGGAGTCCTGCTCACTCTTACTCTAAGTGGGTATTTATAATTATTTTAATGTTGTATTTAATTTTTGACAGAGAGAGAGAGAGAGCGAGCATGAGTGGGGGAGGGGCAGAGAGACAGGAGGACAGAGGACCCAAAGCGGACTCTGTGCAGACAGGCTGATAGCAGCCAGCCCAATGCCGGGCTCAAATTCATGACCTGTGAGATCATGACCTGAGTGGAAGTCGGACACTCAACTAACTGAGGCACCCAGGCGCCCCAAGTAGGTATTTATAATAACAAGTCAACTTCCTGTTTTTAAAGATGTAATTAATGAAATGACATTACTTAATTCAACATGCATACTCTACCCTCCTTCCACAAAGGACTTAAAGCAGCTCTTAAAGTTACAGACTGTTCAATAAAAGTAGGTCAAAAAGATCAAGGACAGAGAAAATGAGGGCAGAAGCAGCTGGCCCCAGGAACAGCATCTCTCAAATGGGAGCTCCAGAAATGCCCCTGTCAGAGGTCCCTGCCCTGGCTGTGATGGAAGGAGGGACCCTGGGACCTGGCCTGGCTTCAAGACCATGACCACTCAGAGTGGGAAAGAGGCTGGGCCCCAGAAGGCCTGCAGGATGCTGCAGTAAGTGAAACAGCACCGTTCCTAAACCTCTCAGTATGACTAGTTCAGTGGTTAGTCTCTCCCCTTAGTTAGACTTCAGGAGGATGTGGTAAGGGATGGAGTATGGTCCCCATGTTCCACGACAGAGTACTGAAGCTCACAAAGGTAAAGTGATTTTCCCTATATCCACAAGGTCACAAAGGCCTCAGAGGATTCCGTGGCAGAGGCTGAAATCAATTATGAGGCACTTGATTAGCCATTATGACCTGTGATTCTCACTAAGGTCCAGAATTCACTCAGCAACCAACCCAGTCTAACAACTATGTTATGCCAGGCTCGGACTGGGCACCAATGATACAGGAAGGAGCAAGACACAACACACTTAAGGAGCCAGTGCTGTGGGAACGGCAGATAATCATGCCAGAAGACAAGCTGCAAAGCATGTAGGTGCAAAGGGGAGGCCCTGCCCACTGCCAGGTGGCTGTGCCCAATGGGGACCTTCTCTAGGAACAGCCAGGGTAGCCTCAGAGCCTTGAGGTACTCAGGGATCCTGCAGCAACAGAGCTGACTGGTCTGGGGACAGACTCCGGGTCAGAGCCAAGCTACTGAAATTCTCACATCTGGGAATGTGAAGCCCAGGTAGAGAAAGGAGCAGAAGCCAGGAGTCGCTAGGGCGGAAGCAAGGAACTGTCCACAAAGTCTCTGAGGCTGCCCCGAGGCTGGCCAACTCAGAGGCCTTTTCACCTGTCCATTCCTGGGCAGTTCAAAGGGCAGATATCCGAAGTCTGTGCCAGTGGAGGACAGCCACTTGTCTGAGCTGCCTCCCTGCACCCCACCCCATGTCCTCCAACCAATCCCCCACTCCAGAAACCAAAGGGTTAATACTCAGCACAGCACGGGCCTCTGCCCTTGCCCGAGTCCTAAGGCCAGTTCAGGTGTGGTCATTACATATTTTGTTCTAAGACCCTTCCAGTACATCCGTCTTCTCAGTGCGTGAGGCAGTGGCAGTGCCTAATACAGCTAGAAACTCGTCCAAACACACCAGTAGAGGTTTCCCGGAGGAGGAGGCAGCTTTTCAGAGGTCTCCTGAGGAGCTATAGGAGTGGGTCACGCAGGGACGGGGCAAGCAAGCTAAACAGCAGGTGCAGAGGCCTGAAGGGGTGGGGGGCCGGCAAGGGGTGGGTGTAGCAGTCTCAGAAGACCCCAGTGGAAGGGCTGGCATGGAAGGCTAGAGACTGCGAAAAGAAAGCCAGTGTCTCCGTGGCCTCTGGACAGCGGCCAGTCTCAACCCTGGGGTGCTACTGACTCATGGGACACTGGAACATGCACCCATATTTGCTAAACACATAACAGAAGACACAAATGCCCAGGCTGCAAGCTTCGTGACCTCCAGCAGGAAAGGAGAAACTGCATGAAGGCCTACAGTCGTGCAGTATTTCATGGTGTGTTTGTATCAAACGGTTCGCTCCCTCTTCCCCTTAATCCTGGACAGTGAGAGGCCTGGAGGCACAGAGTTAACCTGAAACCACTGGCTTCACACCACCATCCACTAGAAGGAACAGGCCTGGCTGACAAGAGGCAAGTCATCGTTCCGCCAGAGTGGCCCTGCCCGAGGCAGGCTGGCACCCAGAAGCATTCCATCCAAATAACGTCTTCCCCACTGAGCGCTCCTCTGCTCATTCAGTAAACCGCGACCCATGTTGTGTGTCCCCAGACGCATTTGCGGAGGCCTGGCCCGTTATTTCATTTAAAAAAAGTTTTTTTAATGTTTTATTTATTTTTGAGAGAGAGAAAGAGCGTGCAACAGGGGAAGGGCAGAGAGAGAGAGGGACAGAGGCTCTGAAGCAAGCTCCATGCTGACAGCAGTAAGCCCACTGAGGGGCTCAAACTCATGAACCCTAAGATCATGACCTGAACCTGAGTCCGATGCTCAACTGACTGAGCCACCTAGGTGCCCTTTGTCATTTCATTTTAGGGCTCTGTCATTTTTTTTTTTTTTTTTTAATTTTTTTAATGTTTATTTTTGAGAGACAAAGAGAGACTGAGCATGAGTAGGGGAGGGGCAGAGAGACAAAGGGAGGGAGACACAGAATCCAAAACAGGCTCCAGGCTCCGAGCTGTAAGCACAGAGCCCAACGCGGGGTTTGAACTCATAAGCTGTGAGATCTTGACTAGAGCCGAAGTCGGATGCTTAACTGACTGAGTCACCCAGGCACCCCTGGAGCCGTGCTATTTTCACATGCAAAATTTCTACTCTCTTTTGCATTATTTTTCATCCTCAGGGCTCTCAACCAAGAACATACTGTCCCTATTCCCATAAACAATTAAAGGGCTAAAGTAACATCTTACATTTACATGGCTCTGCAGCTGGCAATGCGCATTCCCCTCTACTATTTCATTTCATTCCTCACCTGGACCCTGCAAGGTCCACAGCACGGTCATCCTTACTGCAGAGATGTGAGGGTGAGGCTCAGAGACTAAGGAACTTACCTGCTGCCTCCAAACGGAACAGTTGCGCCTGAGGACATCCCGCCCTGTGTTCACTGCACTGTGTCCCAGCTTTTCCTAAAACTGAAGTGCACAGGTGAGGAAAGCAGGCCTCACACAGGCCTGGACTCAAATCTCAGTTTATGTGCTGTGTGGCCTTACACAGGCATCCTTGCTTCTCTGGGCCTCCTTCTTCACAATTGCAAAATGGCAATTAACACTCAGATTGTTCTAAAATCAGGCTCCTGACGAACGGTCTGTGCTCAGCAAGTGTCGGTTACTTCCGGCCTCGGTCATTCTCCAGCCAGCATTGTGACTGAGACAGAGAGAATAGATTCTTGAAAACAACTTTTAGAAACCGTGCAATTTACCTGTTAGCCACCAGAGTGCAGTCAATTTCTGGTCGCTTCGTCTTGGGAATGACATACAGCGGGTACCTGTCCCCGTGTCGAATGAACACATGCACTGAGACCAGCTTAAAATGATGCGGGGCGTGACCTGTGGGAGAGGAGCATGTATCCAGGTTATCATGCAGCAAGTGTGGATCCTTTCCACTTTGCAGAAGCGGGGAGGGACGACCACGTTAGGAGGGTGCCATGCTGGGGGTTGGGGGGGCTCACAAGTCAGGCAGAGGAACAGGACAGGGCTGGTTATGTATGTCTCAGACCCCCAGAAGTAATGGGGAGCCTCTGGGGGTATGAGTAGGGACTAGAGGCCAGGGAAACGGGGGCACGTTCATTCGTGTGGCCTCTCTCATATCCACAGACTAGGGGGAGGCCCACAGAAGTACTGGAAACAATGACTTCTGCTTTAAACCTCCATGAAATAAATCAGGCCACTAATTGAAAAAAAAAATTCAATATCATTCATTGATACACTTTCAAAAAAGCAAAACTCAAAGCAGAAATCATATTTTGCTATACCTTTACTGCAGTATACCCACAGAGCATCCAGCATCCTGTGGATTTCCTAAGCCCCGAGAGAGCTTCCTGGAAAAGAGGGGAGCTGGGGGGTGACGCCCTAGAGCCTGCCATGCCTACCTTTCCATCTCTGGTATCTCACTATGAGCCATGATGGCAAACATTTGCAGAGGGCTTATCATGAGCCATGTGCTGTGCAAAGCAATTGCTTAAGCCTCCGGGCAGCCCTGTGACCAGGTACCACTGGGTACCCCTTTTCGCCGATGAGGTAGCTAATGTGGGAACTCACTCAAGGGCACAGCCTAGCGGCAACTGCAGGATTTGAGCCCAGGCTGTCTGGCTCCTTCTGGTGGCGCTGTGCTGCTTGAAGGGCTAGCTCCCAGAGGGGCATCTTCCTGGGGACCGAGGTAGGCGGCAAGGGTGGGCCTACCTTCCATGCTGCGCTCAGCCACACTGGGGATGTTGCAGTACAAGAGAGCTTCGTAAACAGGGTCCATCACGGGAGGCTCGGTCACGGGGTCAGGCATGATTCTCTTTCGACTCTTGCTACTCACTCCATTCTTGGCTGTGGACACGGGGCTCAGGTGGACTGCATGGAAGGCAAGGCAGGTCATGACACATGCAGTCACAGGGACCCATCGTGTGGCTGGATTTTCACTGAGCAACTATTCTCTCCCTCGGCATTAGAGTGGACTTTAGTCTGGCAAGAAGCTAGCTTCTCATCAAGAACTGCACCCTGCCTCTTTCTTAATGCCATTAACTTCTTCTGACCAATAATTACCTGTGCAACCGTGGGTGAGCCACCCCAGGGAAAGGGGCCTCACTCACAGTGGTAAAGGAAGAACTTCATGCAAACTGATTACCTCATTCCTAACACCCTTTGAGTTCTAGGAAACACCATGGAGGAAAACCATCACCTATGTGGTACCTACGAAGTGCTAGATGTGTTGTCTGACAGATCTCGTGGGATATCATGTGCTTTGCACTTTGGGGTTCCCAAGAGCCTGATCAAGGCATCACTCAGTAATCCTTACAAGCCCACCTTACAGAGAAGACAGTCTTGAGCCCTGGGGGAGACTGAGGCAGCTGCCCAAGGCGAATGTGGTGGATGGAACCCCACCTCAAGCTCACTCTGCCTCCAGGCCAGGTTCTCCCTACCGGTCTTCTGTATGTCATGTGTGGGTCCTGAAGTCTGTCCAGCTAGCGTCCTTCTGTCTGTTGATGAACTTTTCTTTCCTCTCCTGGTTTCGGCTGAACTGTCAATCACAGTGTCCCTGACCTCTGGCTGGAGGTGGACATATGACTGAGTCAATGAGGACAGTGATGGGGCAGCTAGTCTCCTTTTCCTTGGCAGAGGTGCTATCCACACAGTATAAAAGGGGCTCTTTTGTATGCTGGATCCCTCAGAATGGAAACTTGGAGCTGCCCCAGCCACCTCTCCCTCCTCAGACAGCCACTGTCTGCTGTGGAAGAGAATGATACTAAGTACAGACAAGGCAGACCGACAAATGTAGAGACTTAATCAGAGAGAGACCTGAAAATATCCATTCTTTGAGACACTGGATGATGTGGATGAAGGCAGAATCTCTCTTAGAGGTTCCAGTTATATACATCTTATATAACCCTTCTTGCTTAAGCTAATTTGAGTTGGGTTTTAGATACTTATAATCAAATGAATCCTGATTAATAGACTTAATCAATTACTTATAAGCGGATGTAAGTCCATCTTCTGGGTCAATGGTTCCCAACCTTTCCATGTATGGGGAATCTCTGCAGCATCACAGATTTTCTGGAACTCTCTATACAATGACAGTGGTACTTTTAGCATCCACCCACTGAGAAAATGCACAGAAATAGGTGTGCCCATGCACCATTTCTAAAAGGTTTATTAATTACCATAATATACAAACATTTGAACAATAGCTAAAACACGACTCAATCACCAGCCTAAATCCATTTAAATTCCCTAATTTATTCTACAAATTCTTTTTTTTAAAAATATTTATTTATTTTTGAGAGAGAGAGGGAGGGAGGGAGAGGGGCAGAGAGAGAGAGAGAGAGAGAGAGAGAGAGATTCTGAAGCAGGCTCCAGGCTCTGAGCTGTCAGCAGAGCCTGATGTGGGGCTTGAACTCCTGAATTACGAGATCATAACCTAAGCTGAAGTCAGATGTACTACCAACTAAGCCACCCAGGCGCCCCTACAAATTCTTCTAATAAATACTTTAGACTTCCCTTTGGCAAACTAATGTTATAAACAAAAGTAAAGGAAAATATCTGCAACATACATAACAGACAAATTATTAATATCTAAAAATGCATACGAGCTCCTATAACTATAAAATCAATAAGGGATATAAGTGAGGTAAGTACAGGGGCGCCTGGGTGGTTCAGTCAGGTAGGTGTCTGCCTTCGGCTCAGGTCATGATCTCATGGTTTGTGGGTTCAAGCTCCCCATCGGGCTCTGTGCTGACAGCTAGCTCAGAGCCTGGAGCCTGTTTCGGATTCTGTGTCTCCCTCTCTCTCTGACCCTCCCCTGCTCACGCTGTCTCTCTCTCTCTCTCTCTCTCTCTCAGAAATAAATAAAACATTTAAAAAAATAAGTGGGATAAGTACAGAAAAATAAATACCAAGGGCAATAAACATATGAAAAGATGCTCAACATTATTCATACTTAAATACAAAATAAAACAACAGGATATGATACCTGCCATCAGACTAGAATATCATGTTTTAATAATCATGTCAGTACTGGCACGGGTGTGAAACTCCCCTCTGTGATGCAAGTGATAGTAGAAATTAGAACCTTTGGAAGAATTTGGCAGCATTCACCAGAATGTTCTATGTGCTTTATCCCTGATCCCATTATTCTACATCTTGGAATACACTCAACAGAGGGATCAGTTCTAATCACAAAGATATATGGCCAAAGAAATTCTCCGCAGTGCTGTTTGTAATAACAAAAACAGGAAGACAACTAAATAGCCATCATTCACAGAACAGAACGCTACATCCATTTGAGGAATATTCTGCCAGAACTAAAAAGAATGGAAAAGAATTAAAGCTAAATGAAGTGAAGTGAATAAATCAAGTCACTAGATAAGAAAAAACAAACTATCAATGTACGAATCTACAGGAAGTTGTATCCTATGTAAATGCATAAAAAATATCTACAAGGACATCCACGACAACGCAGCAGTGGTTTCTTCTGAGGAACAGGGGGAATGGGGTGTGAAGAAGTACTTTTACTTGTTTTTCCATAAATGTCCAGATTGTTTTATGTGTTACACACATACATATTTACAGTAAGTGTATGTTATATATATCCCATATGTATAAACATATATGTATCTTTCTATAA